TTTTTTTTTTTTTTTTTTTTTTGCTATCTGACAAAAAAAAAAAAAGGGTAATTTTGATTCATATATATGAACAGCTATTGTTTTGTTGGTTATTTTCATTTTTTAGTTAGACAATCTAAGGGAAAAGAAAGAGGTCAGTGTACCTAACTAAATAGGTTTGAGTATTTTAAAAATTCTTTTTCTTTATTTTTTCATCACCATTTATCCCTCCCCCTTCCCTGTTCTACCTCTATCCATTCCTTCCTCCTGTTATCACCGCATAATTGTCCCTGTCAATGAGTTCTTTATTTTTTTCTTTTTTGCTCAGGCTCTCTACCCCCTAAGAACTGTCTACCTGAAAATCGCTGTTCTAGACAGAAAGAAAAATAATAATATTCATTATATTTTTCAATTGCTCTTGCTCTTTTTTGCTTTTCACTTTGGTTTGTCTACCTGGTATCATGACCAGTTTCTTGAAAATTGTTCATTCAGTAAAACTAAATATTATTGTAATAAATATCAGCCAGAACATTGTTGTTAATGGAGAATTGATTACCAATCCCTCAATCCCCAAAATTAACTGTACTACTTTGATAATTATAGTAGGAGCAAAAAGTAGGATACAAGCAGTATCTTTGAAATATCATCTTGAGATTTCTTTTTCTTAAGTAAAGGTGATAGATAGCTGGAGTAGTGTTGCATTAGGAGGACCATTTTAGTTTAATCTTTTATTATTTCTTTTAGTTCTTATTGATGTACTTCTGATGTGTTCACAGGGGCAAGAAATTTATGATCTGAAACATAGCTAATTCTGTTTTAGAACCCTATTAAATTTTAGATAAAAATACATTCAAATTGGGGGAAGAGTAGTTCCAACAGAAAGTAAATGGTTGAGATATGTGGAATTTGGGGTAGGATTTAGGGCTTAATATGAAAGGAGAGGCTGAAATTTGGTTGATAAGCCCTCGAAAGGTTGAAAACTTTATGAAGTTACAAAAGAGAGGATTTGAGTCAGTTTAATTCTAATGATGCATTCATTACATTCTTTTCTCTCTATTTTAGAAAGTGGCATCATATTCATTAGTGGTGGATAACATATAGGGAAAACTTCTTTCTAGTTGCTAGATTGGGTTTTGCTTATATGAATATGTTAACTAACAGTTTACTTTTATTCTAAAACTAAAGTGATTGAATTTTCAGTTCCAGTAGGGTGCTGGCTAAGGATTTCATCTTGTACCTCCTATTTTGTTACCTAGCAAGAGTCTTTTCTGAGATACTGTTTTATAACTGAGTTTCTTTTTGTTCCCTTAGCAACTTAAATTTTGTCAGAAATACAATTTTGTGCTCCAAAGAAATTCTCTGAATTTCTTCAGTAACTGTATAATGCAGCTAAAATGAAGGAAATAATTGCTTTAGTCTATAATACTTTGCTTAACCATGGCAAAATAATGTTGAGATTTGGTTGAGATAACTAGGACTTCCTTTTGCTCCTTTCTGGTCACTGAATTTTGTACTCTGTTTATCAGGTAACTATGGAAAATGTATGCCTTTATGTATGCTTGTCCAAAGTAGAAAAGGTAAAGAAAAAAGGTAGAACAGAAGAAAAATCATGAGAGGTTAGAATATTAAAACATCATTTATCTTGCACTGATCAGTGTGGCTCAGTTGGGTATTGTCCTATGCACTGAAAGGTCATGGGTTCAATTCCTGGTCAGGGCACATGCCTGGGTTTTGAGCTTGATCCCCAGTGAAGGTACGTGCAGGAGGCAGCCAATGGATGTTTTGCTCTCATATTGATGCTTCTCTCTCTATTCTTTTCCTTTTCTCTCTCTTTAAAAATAAATAAATAAAATATTTAAAATATCATTAAACTCTAGTTCTCAGAATTGTAAGCAATTTATTACCTTATGTTAATTTCAGGCAAGAGATTTTTATAATTCTCTATTTGGTGCTTCCTTTGCCAAAGAGATTATGGCTTTATTTATAAATATTTTTATTATTGGTAGCAAATAAGGAATCAGATAAATTAGTCTAATTTAGTTTGAAACTTGATGACACTTATTTTAATATAAAACTGTCTATTTGTAGTAGTCTTAAGGCCCTGCTTCTCAAACCCTCAGAGAAATATGAATTACTTAGGAATCTGATTGATTGGCAAGTCTGGAGCGGGGCCTGACAAGCTTGCAAGAGATGCCCATGATGCTGGTCCTCAGGCTACACTTTGAATTGCAGAAGTTTGAGATACCAAAAGGTCTTTTTTATAAAACCAGTTCCACTTTTATTATCGCCCAATAGCACGGGATTTGAGAACTATAAAATTTGGACTTCATTGCAATTATTGAATGGAATAATAACATTTTCAGTAAAAGAAACAAAGTTTTAATCTTTTCTATTAATCATGTTTTGATCACTGGATGGTGGAGGAATAAAATAGGCCCTCACATGTGGTGTTTTATATAGTACTATAGTACTTCTGGGTGCTACTACTACTAATATGCTTATTTTATTAATAAGGACAACATAGGGATTTTGCTCTCATTCAGATTAACATAGAAAGAAGGGCTAGGAATGCTCGTTGGAATCATTTGTGACTTATATGCCCTTACTTGGCATCACATTTAAAAAAAAAATATATATATATATATATATTTTTAATTTTTTACAGAGAGGAAGGGAGAGAGAGAGAGAGCTAGAAATGTCAATGAGAGAGAAACATCGACCAGCTGCCTCTTGCACACTCCCTACCGGGGATGTGCCCGCAACCAATGTACATACCCTTGACGAATCGAACCTGGGACCTTTCAGTCCGCAGTCTGACGCTCTATCCACTGAGCCAAACCGGTTTCGGCACTTGGCATCACATTTTAAAAAGTAAAGATTACCAGGTTTTTAAAAAAATGTGTGTTAGGTGTTACTATTTTCATTATTATATTTGAGCCATAAATCATGAATATAATCAAATTTGCATCAATGATATTTGCATTTTATAATTCATTTGTTTTCTTTGTATATTTACATAGGTATTTAATATTTAAAAATCAGTCACCTTTAAGATTGAGAGGTCCAAGTTTGGTTATATGAGACAAATAAATTTATATTAAATTTTTTAGTTTGTGCTTTTTTGAAACATCATTCAAAATAAAAAATTTTTGTAATTAAAAGTGGATATTTATGGGTAATACACTTTATTATATGTGAATAAAAATAAGAGAATGTAATCTTAATATGATTTAACAAAAGAGAATTACATGTCAGGTTCCTCTAATGAATCCCAAAACTGTAAAAGTTTACTGTGAGAAATGTATTTCTAAGTTCTGATTGGCATCCCCCACTTATTCATGTGATTGATTTCTAGAACAAATTTTTATGCTTTAATCCCAGAACTGGTTTTATGATTCTTGTAAAATTTAAAAAAATTAATAATTAGAAATTTAAAAGTATGCTATACTCTGAAACAAAACTACATTCAACCAATTTAAATATGTTATTGGGTACTTTCTCACTCAGTTCATTTGCCAACAGGCAGGAACAGCAAGAGTTGCTTTTAATGTTTCTCTTTTTGTTTGTGATAACAAGTTGCTGTGCATTCTGTGGTTCTTTATAACCTTTTCTGTTACATACTTCCAATTGAGATAAAGAACATTGTATTTGATTTGCGGGGAGTGTGTGTGTGTGTGTGTGTGTGGGGGGGGTAGAATGGCATTTGGGGGATTAGAGAAAGGCTGAAGGATGGCAGACAGGAAGAGGGAGAGGGGAGAGGGACACTGTGAAACCGCACCACAGGCATTTTTGACTTCTTTTCCTGTCTATCCAGCACCCCAGTTAGAAGTTAGACAGTGAAGTGGCAAAGTATCTTATGGAAGCTAAACATAGGAGCAGAAGAATGGAGACTTGAAATGTTAACAGCTCCTTTATTCTGCTCAGTGAGAGAGCCTTTGGGAAATAACCACTAAACCCCTCAAAGTTTTTTTTCAGCTTTCCTCATATTAATCTTAGGAATACCAAGCATTCACACCAGAAAAAGCTTATCTCCCCAATATGCTTTAAAACTGTGGCATACTCGCATGCATAGGAGTTCAAAGAAGGAAAGGATGGGGTTATAAGTATACTCCTGATTTCTTAAATGCAGTATTTGCTTCAGGGGCTTCTTTCCTTAGTTTTTTAATCCTCTTTTAGAATACTTTGTTCACTTGCTAATTATGGCTCTACTTATAGGAACTAGCAAGGCTTGGTTTTTCTATGTTTTGCCCTTAGCCCATTGCAAGCTAAGATTGTGAGTTCTATCAATCTGCTTTACAAAAAACATTCTGCTGCAATAAAAATTTTTTGGATGCCATGTAGTTTGTTATCAAAGGATTTGACCTGAAACTCCTTATAGTAAGAGTGAATTAAAAGAGCAGTTTCTATTTTAAAATATTTAAAAATATTCCTTTTTATTTCCTGGGAATATTTTGAGAAAACATGAGAAATGATTGGGATAGTTTTTTTGATAGCTTCTACATAAATTCAAGATTATTATTTTAATAACCAAGATGAAATCCTGTCTTTGAGAGAGGTCTTTTCTGGGCCCTTTGTGCCCAAGTCTGAGAGGCAGATACACAGTGAAGCAGGTTAAAATCTAGAGTCCTGCCCTGCCACTTAGCTGGGTGGCTTTGGATAACTTAAATGTGTGGCTCAATCCCTTCATTTGTAAAGTAGGGATTGATAATAGCACCTATTCTAGTTGTTATGAGATTTAAGTGAGTTAATGTATATAAAGCATATAGAATGATTCCTGGAACATATTAACTGCCATATAATGAGTGGTTAGTTATTATTAATAGCATTTTTTTAAAAAATGTTAATAAATTATGTCAAGTAATTTGTTAATATTGGCTATACTTGGATTAAAAAAATTGTGGCTTTATACCTTTGTTTTAGGAATATTAACTATTACCTTTTTTCTCATTATTTTGTTTACATTTTTGAAGGTTTCCCAATGAGTGGATCATGATGACCGTATTGTAGGGACTTGCCATAGTATGGCTGCTTCCCGATCTACTCGTGTTACAAGATCAACAGTGGGGTTAAACGGCTTGGATGAATCTTTTTGTGGTAGAACTTTAAGAAATCGTAGCATTGCTCACCCTGAAGAAATCTCTTCTCATTCTCAAGTACGATCAAGATCACCAAAGAAGAGACCAGAGCCTGTGCAAATTCAGAAGGGAAGTAATAGTGGGAGAACTACTGATTTAAAACAGCAAAGTACTCGAGAATCATGGGTAAGCCCTAGAAAAAGACGACTTTCTTCAGAAAAAGATAATATAGAAAGGCAGGCTGTAGAAAATTGTGAGAAAAGGCAAACAGAACCTGTTTCACCAGTTTTAAAAAGAATTAAGCGTTGTCTTAGATCTGAAGCACCGAACAGTTCAGAAGAAGATTCACCTGTAAAATCAGACAAGGAGTCAGCAGAACAGAGAAGTACAGTAGTGGACAATGATGCAGATTTTCAAGGGACTAAACGAGCTTGTCGATGTCTTATACTGGATGATTGTGAGAAAAGGGAAATTAAAAAGGTGAATGTCAGTGAGGAGGGGCCACTTAATTCTGCAGTAGTTGAAGAAATCACAGGCTATTTGGCTGTCAATGGTGTTGATGACAGTGATTCAGCTGGTGTAAACTCTGATGACTGTCAGCCTGATGGGAACACTAAGCAAAACAGCACTGGTTCCTACCCATTGCAGGAAAAATCAGTAGCTGAAAATGGGGATTCGGACACCCGCACTTCAGTGTTTCTTGACAGTAGGAAGGAGGACTGTTATTTAGACCATAACGTGCCTTGCACAAATTCTGAAGTGCAGGTCAAGTTGGAGGACCACAAAAGAGTAACTACCTGCCTGCCTGTGGAGCATGTTAATCAGCTGACGACTGAGCCAGCTACAGGCCCATTTCCTGAAATTCAGTCGTCTTTAAGGGATTCTGAAGAGGAAGTAGATGTGGTGGGAGATAGCAGTGCCTCAAAAGAGCAGTGTAATGAAAATACCAACAGCGCCCGGGACACAAGACTTGAGAGAATGCCAGACTCTGGAGAACTGGACCCATCTTCTGTTCTAGACGGTGTGTCAGCTCAAACGATGTCTTTAGTAGAACCTCAAGAACATCGATATACTCTGAGAACTTCACCTCGAAGGGCGGCCCCGACCAGAAGTCCCACGAAAAACAGTTCTCCTTGCAGAGAAAATGGACAACTGGAGGAGAATAATCTGAGTCCCAATGAAACAAATGTAACTGTTAGTGATAATGTAAGTGAGTCTCCCACAAATCCTGATGAAATTTCTCAGAATGATAAACGGATATGTTGTGACTCGAAAAATTATGGGAGTGAAGGACAAAGTAAGCCACCCTCGGAGGCAAGACTCAATATTGGAAATTTGCCATCTGCCAAAGAGAGTGCCAATCCGCACATTACAGAAGAGGAAGATGATGATCCTGATGTTTATTACTTTGAATCAGATCATGTGGCACTGAAACACAACAAAGAGTATGTGTAAATATGGTAACCATGAATTCTGCTTTGTTTATTATTCCCCAAGTTTTCAGTACTTGTAAATGTCTATTCTTAGCATTTCTATTACAGCTAAAAACTAATGCTTTAGCTGAAGTTTTAAGTTTAACATACATAATTTTCTCATCTCGTTAAAAAAAAAAAAAAAACTACCAAAAAAAGAAAGACTTTTAAAACTCAACTTTTATTTTCTCAATGGCAATATGGTTTTCTAGTTTTGGTACTTCAACATGTCTCAATTAGAAGTGACATGTAGAAACTTGGTTGATGATGTTTTTGTTTTTAATAAGTTTTATGTCATTTGACCTAATTTATAAAATTGGAAAAGAGTTAGTCTGCTCTGTAATTGACATAGAGCATTTGAGATTGCTTTTACCTAATTCTAAGTTATAAGGGGAGACCGTATCTTAAAATAATACTAGTTCTTAACCTTCATGATAAAGGTACTTTTTAAAATAAAGAATTCAGAGTCCAAATTTATCAGTTTATCTTAAATTTCCTTTGAAGGATTGGAGCTAATTATGTCTAAATAATCCTGTAGGAACTATTAACAGTGTTTACCATATGTCATACCATATATATACCATATATATATATATACCATAGTAAAAGAAAGACATATATATATGTTAATCATCTTTATTTTACAGTGTAGGCTTTTGAATTAATATCACAATCAGATTATATAAGCTATGTAAAAATACTGATATGAGGAACCTTTGTAATGTTTTTTGTTGTGACAGTTGCCATATAATGGTATGTAACAAAACAAAGTATCAAGTCTTGATTGTGGAACATAATCGTTTTGCCATGCATTACAAATAATTCATATTTGCATATGCCATTGACCAGAATCGAATCTGGATCTTTCAGTCCGCAGGCTGACGCTCTATCCACTGAGCCAAACTGGTTTCGGCTAGGCCCTGATTTTTAACATCAGAGCTTTTCTTCCAATTCAGAAGATGCTCATTGGAAAAGAAATTTCCAGATGAAAATGTGATTTGCTCTTTTGCCTCTGAATTCTCATTGTACAAGAATATTTTTAAAAATATATATTTAAAGGACCTTGGAAAGCTTCATTTAATGATGTTATAACCTTTTATGAACCAGATAGAGGGTGAAAAGCCTTAGGGTTTCTAGATTCTTGAGGTCTTGCAAAAGGTTAACTCGTTGATAACATTGCTAATGTTTATACTGGCGGGGTCAGGAGAGAAGGTGATGCAGGCTGGGCTGGGTGCTGGCGGGCCTGGTGAGAAAGGAACAGACTTCGGGTGCTGCTGCCTTTGGCGTCCTGCCACCCCACAGTTCCCTGTGCCTCTCCCCTCCCACCCCAGTGCCATGCCACTACCGGAAGCATGGGGGCAGGGATGAGGGGAGGAGCCAGGTGAGGTTTCCATCCCCAGTTTGGAATGCGCAGGAGGCTGGAATGTGCAGGAGGCAGCCAGTCAATGATTTTTCTATCATCATTGATGTTTCTATCTCTATTTTCCTCTCCAAAATCAATCAAATATATATTTTTATTTTATTTTTTAAAATATATTTTATTGATTTTTTTACAGAGAGGAAGAGAGAGGGATAGAGAGTCAGAAACATCCATGAAAGAGAATCATCGATCAGCTGCCTCCTGCACCCCCCCACTGGGGATGTGCCCGCAACCAAGGCACATGCTCTTGACCGGAATCGAACCTGGGACCTTTCCGTCCTCTGGCCGATGCTCTATTCATTGAGCCAAACCGATTTCAGCCAAATATATTTTAATATATTTTATTGATTTTTCACAGAGAGGAAGAGAGAGGGATAGAGAGATAGAAACATCGATGAGAGAGAAACATCGATCAACTGGGGATGTGTCTGCAACCAAGATACATGCCCTTGATCCGAATTGAACCTGGAACCTTTCAGTCCGCAGGCCGACGCTCTATCCACAGAGCCAAACCGGTTTTGGCCAAATATATATTTTTAAAATACAAGGTTTTTAGAGGAAGAAAGGTAGGGCAAGGGAGCTATTAATGGGGTCATTTGAGATCTTGCTCACATTTCAGATAGGATAACATAAGATGGTCCTCAAGGGGTGACAAGTGAGGAGTGGCAGTGGGTGGAGCAGGGCACTGCGGGCTGAGGAATGGGCTGTAATGAGTGGGAATGTCTGTGTAGTGACATTGAGCATATCTTGGGGCCATTGCTAGGATCATTCATTCCCAAGAGGTTTTGATTCTGGATGGGAGGTGAAACACAGAGATCAGCAGGTCTTTCTTAGCCTAGAAGATGATGTGGGCTGCAGGAGTGGGCTGCACTGCTTCCCTGCAAATGTAAACATGCACATGGATGTCAGTCACACGGCCAAATCAATGCCCAGCCAGTGCTGGTGGCCGTGTCCTGCCACTCTCTGGCTGTGCTGCGTGCTATTGGCTCAGGGCCGGGGGGTGCGTGTGTGAAGCCACGCTGCCAAGCACACACAGTACAGGAAGGGGCAGGCAGGAAGCTAGAAACTGGAAGTCGGAGCCGAGGCGGCCTGGCAGTGCTGTGTCCGCCATGGAGCTGGACAGGGAGCAGCTGTTGGTGCAGTCGGCTTTGGAGTTGAAGGGGCTGTGCTTCCTGCATGTCACCGGTGAGTCCCCGTGAGCCTGCGGTGCACCGTCGCGCTAGGCGGGGCCGGGGGAGGCCTTTCCCTGCTGGAGCCATTTTTCTCAAGGTGACGGCGTGGGCTGCTTTTATTTCTTTTCCCCCAGTTTATTTATTTTTATTGGAAAGCAAGCTCTGGGCTTGTAGTTCCTGAGATCCATGGGCTATAACATGTACTTTCAGGCCTCTCTGTGCCCCCCTTCCCCTCCTCCTGCATTGAGCATCTGGCCCATGGTGGTCAGTGTGAATCATAGTGACTGGTTCCACCGATCGCTCTGGTCATTACGCTGTTATGGTTGCTGGGATTTTATTATATAGGACTAGAGGCTCTGTGCATGAAATTTGTGCACTTGGGGGAGGTCCTTCAGTTTGGCCTGCACCACTTGCAGTCCTGGAGCCCCGGGGATGCCCGACTGCCAGCTTAGGCCCACTCCCGGTGGACATCCTTAGCAGTCGGACATCCTCAACGCTGTTGCAGAGGCGGGAAAGGCTCCTGACACCAGCGCTGCGCTCGCCAGACATGAGCCTGGCTTCTGGCTGAGCAGCGCTCACCCTTTGGGAGTGCACTGACCACCAGGGGCAGCTCCTGCGTTGAGTGGTCAGTGCGCATCATAGTGATCAGTTCTGCCATTTGATTTGCATATTAGCCATTTGTTATATAGGATAGATAATAAGTATTCATTAACAATAAAACCCATCTAAAGCATTACCATTTATTTGAGACTTAATAGAAGCTTTAGCATTAGGAAATTTGTAAGTTTTATAGTAGTCTCAAAATATATTTTTACCCATTTCTTTTTTTAAAATATATTTTTAATTGATTTTTACAGAGAGAAAAGGAGAGGAATAGAGGGTTAGAAACATCGATGAGAGAGTATATCGATCAGCTGCCTCCTGCACACACACACCCTCCCCCCACTGGGGATGTGCCCGCAACCAAGGCACATGCCCCTGGCTGGAATTGAACTTGGGACCCTTCAGTCCACAGGCCGACGCTCTATCCCCTGAGCCAAGCTGGTTAGGCCTTTACCCATTTCTTAAGCAGACTAGTATACCACATCCACTATTTTTGTGATGATTCATGTTATCAGATATATAGTAATTAATGGGAAGATATTTCTTGTGACCTTTATACCCCTCCATCCTTCCCTCCCAGTAGTCAGGACCGGCTACATTGACTAATGACCCCCATCAAGCAATCAGTGGAGACCATGACCTACCTATCTACTTCCCTCCCTTCCTCCCCCTCTCCCTCCCATCTTCCTTATTTATTTCCTCCTTCCCTCCCTCTTGCCTTGGGATGTGTGTGTGTCTGTTTAACCCTGTCTTATCTGCTTCTATTTGTCTCTTTATTTTTTAAAAATGTATATTTACTGATTTTAGAGAGGAAGGGAGAGGGAGAGAGAAATAGAAACATAAATGATGATAGAGAATCATTGATCAGCCTTCTCCTGCATGCCCCCTACTGGGGACCAAGCCTGCAACCTGGGCATGTGCCCTTGACTGGAATCCTTCAGTCCAAAGGCTGATGCTATATTCATTGAGCAAAACTGGCTAGGGCCTCTTTGTCTCCATAATCTATGATTTTAACTTAGGGAAATTTGTAAAGTGGTGAGAGGAGCGTGAGTAATTTGTTCAGGGCTCTGAGGAGGAAGAAATCTCTATAGTGTGTTGTGTTTTAGTTTTCACATGTCTAATAAGACTTACCTGGTGGATGTTGTAAATATATTGTTGAACATTTGGATTTTGTTCTTGTTAGACCCCCAGAGCAAGAATATGGGACAGGTACAGAAACTCACTAAGGCAGAAAGCTCTGGATGCCTAGCAAGGGACAAAGCTGAGAAAATAAGAATCTCATTCCCAGGGTAACCTGTTTTTCCCTACATATCACTGGTCATGTGATTTGAACCCCTGATCTTTCATTTCTCTAGTTAGGTGGTTTTGGAATCTTTGCCTCCCTAAAGATAACATCTAGGCCTCAGTTGTATTTCAGCTCCAGGCCCAGAAAAGCAACAAAATCTGACAGGTGATGTGGCTGACTCAAGACCAGCTACATTGACTAATGATCCCCTGCTCTGACACCAGCCAGTCAGTGGAGATCATGACCCTGAAAGAGCATACTTGGAAAGATGATGAATATTCTATTAAGACCATCCCCTGAGACCTTCCCTAAGATTCTCACCTGCAAGAAAGAGATAAATATGCTCAGGACAAAGGACCCAGGGCACGCGCGCTCTCTAAAGAGCACTCCCTTGCCATTCCCCTTCCCCACAGATAGATATCCCCTAACCTCTAAGGGACCCACTAGACTTGCAACCAGGGTAGCATTGGGCAGTGGCAGCTCATCCCAGGCT